TGCGGTGGGGCATGCTAATCTTTTTTTTTTTTTTTTTCGGGAAGGCCATGCTAATCTTCTCTGTATCGTTCCAATTTTAACGGATAAATCGAGAAATGGTCCAAATTAAAAAAAAAAAAAAAAAAAAAAAAAACTGGATGCGGTATTTGAACCGTGTTTCGATGTTTATTATTATTATTTTTCCCGTAAAAAGGAGGCGTTTTTTCTTTCTTAATTTTCTTTCACCCGCTCAGGCCGGAGGAGGCTGGGTCGCGTAGATGTGTCTGGAAGAGGATGGCGTGGGAAGGGAGGAGAGTATACCTCGGGCCAACCCGCGTCAGAGAGCGAGATAGAAAAGGGATAACGGAAAGAAGATAGCGTAGAGGGGGGGGAGAAGGGGGAGGAGGGAGGCATTTTGGGGGTGGGGGTAGAGTGGGCAGGGGGAGGAAATTTGGGGGGTGAGGGGGTACCAATTAACCTTTGGTTTTTGAGGCAGTGAGACCTACAAATATGAACACAGCGTGGGGTTGGTAGTGATCAGCCTTCGTAATCGGATCGCCAGGCAAGTGAAGAGCATTCACTTCGCCGCGGGTTACGTTGATCTCTCTCTCTCTCCCAACAGTCGTAGCCATGGCTGCCACCGCTGCCGTTGCCGCTGTTTCGGCGCCGAGCACGTTCGCCGGCCAGACCGCTCTCAAGGAGAAGAGCGCCCTGAGCGAGAAGGTTGGCAATGTCGAGGCTCGCGTTGTCATGAGAAAGAGCGCCTCCAAGTCTGTGGACAGCATCTGGTGCGTCTTCCTCCCCCTCATCCTCCTCCTCCTCCTCCTCCTCCTCCTCCTCCTCCTCCTCCTCCTCCTTTCGTGTCTCTCTGTCTATGTCTCTGTTCTCTCTCTCTCTCTCTCGGACTCCGTGTGTGTGTGTGTGTGTGCTGTCTCTTATACACATCTAGATGTGTATAAGAGACAGGGGTTGGGGTAATCAGTAGACGCGCGGTACGGTCTGTCTCTTATACACATCTAGATGTGTATAAGAGACAGGTCTTGTCCCTTTGTCTTTTTCCCTTCTTCCCTCTTGTTTTGCTCTTTTGTAACCCGGACCGGGCTCCTTGAGAGAGAACCCCCGGGCAATGTGGT